GGGTGTCCCATTTATCTATTGTTGCGCAAACTAGCGGGGATATCAACAAATGATTTATATAACATATCCTTCATATGGAGGGTCCCATTTAATAAATGCCATGCACTCTTCTCAAAACCCGATTTTTGAACCAATCCAAAAAATCTTTTATCGTTCTGGTCTGGTCTTGGACTAGTAGTGGTACAGACGCCAAGTGCGGACAATAGAGTTCATTTCCGTTTTGGAAAATGAGCTAAAAACGAGTCAATACTATCGCAAATATAGATTCATTAAAATTTGAAATGTATTACGAAAAAAGGCATAGGTAGTTTAAATTGTAAAAAATTTATATACACACACCTTTAATTTATTCCAATGTATTTGTATAACAAAAATACAGCCGTCTAAGTGCTTGTAAATAGACAGATTTGAGATCACAAACGCATAAAATGTATTTTTTACCACGGAGGCATCTATATGACAAATTTTTCTCCCACAAACGTAACTAGACAGCTATATGTATAGTAGAAGGACTCGAAAGAGTGAACTTATAAAAAGTAAAACAAAAACACCAATAAAACCACAACAATATATTAAAGTATCGATCGTGTTTCAAAATTAGCGAAAGAGTGAACAATAAAATACAAATACCTAGCCCGGTATACTACAAGAGAAAGTGAAAGTAAAAGAAATGTTTCACTATATGGAGATCTTGTAAACCGCAAGACTATTACACAGAGACGCTTAAATATGGGCAAAGCTATGCAGAATTTTATGCTGACTAATTTTCCATTTGAAAGTTTTTTGTAGCTGTGCAAATAGCAAAGTTGTGGCCAAAAAACTGAAAAATGACATTTTCGAAAATGCGCTGATGTTCATTTATTTGTCAAAAAATAATTTTAACATATCTTTAGTGAATTTGCTCAGTTTTCTGATGGTGCTAAAATAAATTTTGTTGACCTGTCGGTTTCGAGTAAATCACATCCATTTTCTTATTTCTTATGGACGTGATATAGGATTTTTATGTCACCAATAGAGAAAAAGTTTCAAAATTTGGATTGTAATCTTGAATTGCTGCCTTGAAGCCTGCCTTGAAGTTTGCATTGTATTTCCTACGGCAATGATGAGAAAAAATCACTGAGGGTTTGTTAACATTAGTTTTTGATATCTGGGAAAATAAATGAATGACGTTTTTTGGTTTTTTGGCCGTAACTTCGCCATTTGTAACGTTAACAAGAAACTTTGAAAAGGAAAATTAATCAGCAGAAAATTCTGCACGACTTTGCGTATTTAAGTGACTTTGTTCTTTGATGGTGTACAAAATCCCCATATAGTGTAAGTGAAAAAAAACTCACCCAGTATATTGGATAAACAAAAAAATCATTAAGAATTGGTTTTAAAATCGTTGGAATAAATCTAGCGTTGCCGCACATAAACTTAAAACAGTCATATATATGATATGATTGAATTGATGGTATTTACCTGGTTAGCATAGGTAATAAACTAAACTTAACGTAAAAACAAAGGCTTCCTAATGGATATGAAGATCCTTTAAGGCAATCAGAGCCGTATTTGTATTTTAACGTTCAGTTCTTAATAATAATTATATATTTATTGCGTAAATGATCAAAACAAAGACGGAAAAGGCAAGAATTCGACGTGATCGATCTTCCATTCTGTCAAAGTACCTATATTAAGTATAATAATGGTACAGTTTAGCTAATAATATAACTTACATTATCGTTGTATTTAGTAAATAAATAAATAAATAAATAAATCATCAGTCTCTGGAGCGTGGCTCAATGCGCTTCCTTGTAAAAATCTGGGAACACTACTGAATGATAATGTTTTTCGAATAGCACTGGCTCTACGTCTAGGTTGCACAATTTGTGAATCCCACCACTGTATATGTGGCATGCTTGTTGACCGTCAAGGCACACATGGTCTATCTTGTCAGAAAAGTTAAAGTGCTGGAAGATTATCACGTCATCGCGAACTCAATTGCATTATTCAGAAAGCTCTTGCCTCAGCAAACATTCCTTCAACATTAGAACCCCTAGGTCTATCAAGAACAGACTGGAGCGTGGCTCAATGCGCTTCCTTGTAAAAATCTGGGAACACTACTGAATGATAATGTTTTTCGAATAGCACTGGCTCTACGTCTAGGTTGCACAATTTGTGAATCCCACCACTGTATGTGTGGCATGCTTGTTGACCGTCAAGGCACACATGGTCTATCTTGTCAGAAAAGTGCTGGAAGATTATCACGTCATCGCGAACTCAATTGCATTATTCAGAAAGCTCTTGCCTTAGCAAACATTCCTTCAACATTAGAACCCCTAGGACTATCAAGAACAGACGGAAAACGGGTAGATGGTATGACTCTGATCCCTTGGTCTCATGGTCTACACTTAATTTGGGATGCGACTTGTTCTGATACACTTGCCTCTTCTCACTTGTCACTTTCCTCGCATTCCACTGGAGAAGTTGCGAGACAAGCTGCTGCTAACAAGGTGAGGAAATATCAGGAAATTATCAATGCAGGTTACCAGTTTTTACCTTTCGCTGTTGAAACTCTTGGACCGTGGTGTACGGAAGCTATGCAATTTGTAAATACTTTAGGAAAGAAATTGAAAAATGCCACAGGAGAGCACCGTTCAAAATCATTTCTTATTCAAAAAATTAGTTTGGCCATTCAGCGCGGCAATGCCGCTAGTATTATGGGCACTTTCCCTTCTACAATATCTTTAAATGAAATTTTCTTCCTTTCTTAAATCTTGAAACCTTTTTTTTTTTTTTATTAAATACATGTAAGTTATAATATCTCGAAATTAATCGATATTAAACAAAACAAAAAAGAGAGACAAAAAAGATAATAAAATAATAAGACTTTAAGTGCAAGTTAAACTTTAATTTTTCCTAGCATTAAAGACTCGTTGACATTAGATTTGAAGTTGGGGTAACTTAAACTTATAAATTCAAAAATTAAATTAAGTGTATGGGGAGCCACATAGGCAAAGCATCCCTTATATTTAGAAGTCCTATGTTTAGGTAATGTGGTAGTTTAACTTTCTGATATTGATGCTGTGTAGATCGCTACGTTTTACTATACATTCAGTTAAATACCTTGGATATATACTTCGCTGATAATGACAGCCTGACTGTTGAAACGCGCTCAACATTTTAAGATACCTATACTCGTATTATTGTGGTTCATTGGTCTTTTTGGTTTAGGTACTTTTTATAAGTTCAACGGTCACGCGAGGCCCCCCGGAACCAAGGGCCCTTATCTCGAACTCCATTTGGTCCATAATTAGAGGTATCACTACTCATGTTCCTGATAGGTTATATAGCGCAAAATGATATTTTTATAGACCATTACATTCATATATACCTACTACAGTGTGATACACGATTTTTAAGACTTTAACATTGTTTAATTTGGGCTGTGAAAACGTTTTAAAACAATAAGATGACAAATCAATAATTTGAAAACTAAGTATATAAGCAATAATCTCTCTCTTAATGACTCTAAGCAATGTATCTGTAAATGATAAACTTTTAAATGATCCATCACATGCGACACTATCCAAATATGTGCGATTGAAATTTTTTAAGGACGTGATATTTAACACTTGAAAATAAGGTTAAATTGTTCAAATGTGACGTTTTGAGCATATTTGGGTTTCTTAATATTATCACTCGATATATCCGTATAGGTACGATATCTAGGTAAGTATACCAACATTATAATCGTATACTTAGGTACTTATATTTATACTATAATTGGGAACTCTTATTTTTCTTTATACATGCATGATAAGGATAACATTTGTAGGTATATGATGACAAAGGTCCTTCATAAATTGTAAAAGGGGTTTAGAACCAGAAACATCTTATACCAAATCCATTGGTATAGTTTGTCACATAAAAGGTGACACTCTAAAGAGCTTATAGCTTATAAACGAAGTCCACGATCTCTTACTTACATAATATATACGATCGCTATTACAGCTACTGAGCTACGACTACTACTGTACATATGTAACTGTAGGTCCACTATTGCGATTACCGGCACCTGGAACGAGAAGACACTCATAAAATTGATGAAAAAGTATTCGATATCGGTTTATAGCAGGGTTTATAGGTAGGTATTAATTTTAAATACTCCCTCGTTAATTTACGTGGATGAGAGAGAACAATAATGTGTGTATATATAAGAATGTATCGATCAATAGACAATGGCATTCGCTACGAGATAGGGGTTGCAACTAAGAGATTTAAATCTGACGATTATAAGTTGTGGTATTTCACAGTTTTCTATATGCATAAAAGTGTAAGATGGCATTTGTTCTTCCAGCTGCCTCGCTAACAGTTTGCATTATTCTGGCCTGAGATTTACTCCCCCTGCAGTGTATACACGTATTTACGTAATTATCAGCGATGAACGGGTAAGTGTAGGTATAACTAATCTGTCGTGAGTACCTATCCGAATTCCGTCCATAATAATGTATAGGTACACTGCCAATACAAGTAACAGTGCAGAATAGACAGTTGATGCTGTTGCAATTTCAATTGAGCAATGCAGATGTTGGATCTTAATATAAAGAGGCGTAGGGATAGGTAGCCCAGAATGTGTTTATACTTAAAGAAAACGGCAAGTATAGTAAATAGAAAATGCTGCAAATGGACAAAAGCTAAGCAGACTGATCGCATCAGGTGTAGATACAAGTAGAATCAACGAGGCAAGCGCACAGATTCAGCGCTGTCATAAACGAGCAGCTGCAGCCGATGGGCTCCCTAGGGACAAGGGCTCCTCCCTGTGCCTGCCTTTCCTAGAAAGAGGGACTATGACGCATCATCATTGGCCGCAAAATTTTGTTTTACAATGAGTACTTTCGCTTCCCTTCAGGATTGGCGCATCTAAAGTTAGAGCCATGGTGGTCTATGACATCCGAATTTTGCAGCTTTCTACGTAGACAATTATGGAAATGAATGCCTCTGCTTACCTTAAGCACAAATCGCCCTTTCTTGTAAGCTAAATGTGCAGCATATTCGCGATGGAGCGCATTTACGAATATTAACGGAACGTACAAATTCATTAAAAGGAAATTATATACCTGCGTATTTTGTCTAGTGATCGGAAATTATATGTACAAATTAAACGCTCGTTATAGTTTCAAAACAGTTCGTAGTTATTGCGGTAACGTGTGCAAATGCAGTGCTAAAACTATTGTTAAACTACACTCCGTTGGACTTATTTACAATCATCCCTACGTAATCAGGTCAGTGTTTAATATAATTTAGATGAGTAGAGAAAATATACCTACAAAAACATCTTTTGAATCGACAAAATTTAAAATGGCTTAAGTCATAAAGTGGTATCTTACGTAAATATGCCAAAACCGTTGAGTAATTTTACGTAGTTATTCAATGTTTATAAAAACCCAGCATGCAAGCGCACAATTGCATTCGGCCACTTTGTGAGAAACATTATAAGTAGTTGCCCATTCCCAGCCCGTGCGTCTTCCTAAAAGTAAAAATCATCGCGTCTGTAATCATTTGATGTGTCATGTGTTAATTCTGACATTTTCCAAAATGCTTCATGTTTCTGTCCGATAGCTCCTAGAGCCAAAAATGTTTACATCCGTTATGACTTCGGTGTACAGTTCTCGCGTTTATAGTTCCAATCACTAAAAAGGATTTTTCTTTATTTATACTTTCGTGAGCACGCTAACTTCTATGCCATGCTAATCCGTCCAGCATTCCTTTGCAACCGTACTGACGTGTGTTATTATGCAATATGAAAGGAAATTTAAACCAATTTTTCATTAAATTAAATGAGTCATCTTGGATGTACGTTGTCTTTTCATGTTTTACTCGGAACACCCACGTTTTTGATTTTGGAAGAGATTTTCTTTGTAGGAGTATAGGTATGATTGTTTTCAGTTATGATGTGATGCTAGTGTACGTGAAGAATTCTAATTTCTGTCAAGATTTCCAATAGCAGTTGTTTAATGTTTAAACCTGATAATGCGATTGATTTTCAAATGCATGGAAGCAGGAAGTATTCCCTTGCAGACCCTTTAATTCAAACATCCGTATATATTATATATAGCACTTTCTTGTAAACATCAATCTGGAACAGTAACAATGAATACATACGGCAAATGAGGAATTTTTATTATTTTTTCTACCATTTCGTGTTGTTAAATAATCGATCAATCTATAAAAACTATTGCGTAACACCTTTTGTGACATGACTGCTATGCTGATAGCAGAGGAGAATATGACAATATCTATTTCTGAGTTGAGCTCCTATTGGCTTGCATAAACTGATCAGAAAACTTTGTAATCTGAGTCTACATCAGTACCTATACTCGGAGGCTGGTATAATAAATTAGGTACTGTACTTACCATTATTTTGTCAATAAATAAGGTATCGTTCTTAGTATGACAATGCTTTTTTTAATTGTAAACGTTTTTTATTTTGAAGTAGGTAGTCCATCGACTAATAACTCTCTCCACTTTAGGAAACAGTGTTATGTTAAATGATCATTGTGTTGTAGGTATTTTTCCATCTCTAGAACTAGAACTACCTTTTTTTATTCCAGGAACTTTTCTAAAAGTGACAATATTTTTCTTCACATCGAATCGATTAAATAAGCATAAAGTGAACAAATATCTATTTAAACTTATTTACTTATTTTATAAGTGTATAGGTATGGATTTATTCATCTGTTATTTAACTGCACCCACATACATATATTATTGGTTGATTATTTAAACAGATTGATCTATTTTTTTAAGTAACATCAAGAATCAAAATTCAAGGTTTTAGAAAACACAGTATCATTCTGAAGCGAGTGTTCCTGTTTTGCCCAAATTTTCACAGGCAGGTCATATAAAATTTAAAAAATAGTATGACATTCATCGCTCTATCATCCGATTGGGGCTTGTTACATAATTTTTCCACCACTTCTCATCTTTCCGAACAAATCTGGACGTTTATGTTTCTCAAAGCTGAGATGTGGTGGAATGATTTTGAACATTTCTGTAAAGTTGGATCATTTGCTTCAGAATTAGGTACGCTTACTTTTTGATGTTCTGATGTAGGTCAAATATTTTTAGTTCCTTGATCGATTCTGATTAAGGGATCTGCAAGCAACCCTTAGATTGCCAATTACAAGTAAAATCCCACCCAGTTATGGAAATTCGTAATTTTTAAGAAAATTCGCTCCTACCTACTTAGCAGTATTCAATTGCGGGGGTTGTAAATTTTGTTGTGAGTCAAATATTTTTATTTCCTTGATCGATTCTGAACAAAGGATCTACAAGCAATCCTTAAATTGCTAATTACAAGTAAAATCTCATCCCGTTTTAGAAATTCGTAACTTTCATTAAAATTCGCTCTTACGTACCTACTTAGCAGTAGGTATTCAATTACGGGGGTTGTAAATTTTGTTGTGGGTCAAATATTTTTATTTCCTTGATCGATTCTGATTAAATGATGTACAAGCAACCCTTCAATTGCCAATTACAAGAGAAATCCCATCCCGTTTTAGAAATTCGTAATTTTTTTAAAATTCGCTCTTACCTACTTATATATATAGCAGTATTCAATTGTGGGGGTTGTAAATCTTGTTGTGGGTTAAATATTTTTATCTCCTTGATCGATTCTGATTAAATGATGTACAAGCAACCCTTCAATTGCCAATTACAAGTAAATTCCCATCCCGCTTTGGAAATTCGTAATTTTGATTAAAATTCTGTCTTACCTACTTATAGCAGTATTCAATTGCGGGGGTTGTAAATTTTGTTGTGGGTCAAATATTTTTATTTCCTTGATCGATTCTGATTAAATGATGTACAAGCAACCCTTCAATTGCTAATTACAAGTAAAATCCCATCCCGCTTTGGAAATTCGTAATTTTCATTAAAATTCGCTCTTACCTACCTACTTAGCAGTAGGTATTCAATTGCGGGGGTTGTAAATTTTGTTGTGGGTCAAATATTTTTATTTCCTTGATCGATTCTGATTAAAGGATGTACAAGCAACCCTTAAATTGCCAATTACAAGAGATATCCCATCCCGTTTTAGAAATTCGTAATTTTGTTTAAATTCGCTCTTACCTACTTATATATAGCAGTATTCAATTGTGGGGGTTGTAAATTTTGTTGTGGGTTAAATATTTTTATTTCCTTGATCGATTCTGATTAAATGATGTACAAGCAACCCTTCAATTGCCAATTACAAGTAAATTCCCATCCCGCTTTGGAAATTCGTAATTTTGATTAAAATTCGGTCTTACCTACTTATAGCAGTATTCAATTGCGGGGATTGTAAATTTTGTTGTGGGTCAAATATTTTTATTTCCTTGATCGATTCTGATTAAAGGATGTACAAGCAACCCTTAAATTGCCAATTACAAGAGAAATCCCATCCCGTTTTAGAAATTCGTAATTTTTTTAAAATTCGCTCTTACCTACTTATATACATATAGCAGTATTCAATTGGGGGGGTTGTAAATTTTGTTGTGGGTCAAATATTTTTATTTCCTTGATCGATTCTGATTAAATGATGTACAAGCAACCCTTCAATTGCCAATTACAAGTAAATTCCCATCCCGCTTTGGAAATTCGTAATTTTGATTAAAATTCTGTCTTACCTACTTATAGCAGTATTCAATTGCGGGGGTTGTAAATTTTGTTGTGGGTCAAATATTTTTATTTCCTTGATCGATTCTGATTAAATGATGTACAAGCAACCCTTCAATTGCCAATTACAAGTAAAATCCCATCCCGCTTTGGAAATTCGTAATTTTCATTAAAATTCGCTCTTACCTACCTACTTAGCAGTAGGTATTCAATTGCGGGGGTTGTAAATTTTGTTGTGGGTCAAATATTTTTATTTCCTTGATCGATTCTGATTAAAGGATGTACAAGCAACCCTTAAATTGCCAATTACAAGAGATATCCCATCCCGTTTTAGAAATTCGTAATTTTGTTTAAATTCGCTCTTACCTACTTATATATAGCAGTATTCAATTGTGGGGGTTGTAAATTTTGTTGTGGGTTAAATATTTTTATTTCCTTGATCGATTCTGATTAAATGATGTACAAGCAACCCTTCAATTGCCAATTACAAGTAAATTCCCATCCCGCTTTGGAAATTCGTAATTTTGATTAAAATTCGGTCTTACCTACTTATAGCAGTATTCAATTGCGGGGGTTGTAAATTTTGTTGTGGGTCAAATATTTTTATTTCCTTGATCGATTCTGATTAAAGGATGTACAAGCAACCCTTAAATTGCCAATTACAAGAGAAATCCCATCCCGTTTTAGAAATTCGGAATTTTTTTAAAATTCGCTCTTACCTACTTATATATAGCAGTATTCAATTGTGGGGGTTGTAAATTTTGTTGTGGGTCAAATATTTTTATTTCCTTGATCGATTCTGATTAAATGATGTACAAGCAACCCTTCAATTGCCAATTACAAGTAAATTCCCATCCCGCTTTGGAAATTCGTAATTTTGATTAAAATTCTGTCTTACCTACTTATAGCAGTATTCAATTGCGGGGGTTGTAAATTTTGTTGTGGGTCAAATATTTTTATTTCCTTGATCGATTCTGATTAAATGATGTACAAGCAACCCTTCAATTGCTAATTACAAGTAAAATCCCATCCCGCTTTGGAAATTCGTAATTTTCATTAAAATTCGCTCTTACCTACTTAGCAGTATTCAATTGCGGAGGTTGTAAATTTTGTTGTGGATCAAATATTTTTATTTCCTTGATCGATTCTGATTAAAGGATGTACAAGCAACCCTTAAATTGCCAATTAAAGAGAAATCCCATCCCGTTTTAGAAATTCGTAATTTTTTAAAAAATTCGCTCTTACCTACTTAGCAGTATTCAATTGAGGGGGTTGTAAATTTTGTTGTGGATCAAATATTTTTATTTCCTTGATCGATTCTGATTAAATGATGTACAAGCAACCCTTCAATTGCCAATTACAAGTAAAATCCCACCCCGCTTTGGAAATTCGTAATTTTCATTAAAATTCGCTCTTACCTACTTAGCAGTACCTATTCAATTGCGGAGGTTGTAAATTTTGTTGTGGATCAAATATTTTTATTTCCTTGATCGATTCTGATTAAAGGATGTACAAGCAACCCTTAAATTGCCAATTACAAGAGAAATCCCATCCCGTTTTAGAAATTCGTAATTTTTTAAAAAATTCGCTCTTACCTACTTAGCAGTATTCAATTGAGGGGGTTGTA